TTCTTGATCCGAGGATTTAGAGCTACTTCTTCTCTTCCTCAAAATATAAGTACGTTCCTTTCCCAATGTATTATGCAACGCCCCTCCCTCCTTACGGGTTTAGCGCTTCCCCATGAATTAGGTAATGCTGGAATATCCACCAGGAAAATAAAGAATTTAGAAAGTAAGAAAAAAGAAAGTTGGTCAGGGAAAGTTGGCTTTTCAATGACAAAGATCATGGGAGAGAAGAGGTAACGTCTGATTCATGGGGGAGAGGTTAGGCTGAATTATGGGGGGGGAGGTTATGGTTAATTCATGGGGGAGAGGTTAAGTCAGATTCATAGGGAGAGGTTGATTAAGGCTGATGAGAGAGCACGCGCGCACACACACATGCACACACACGCGCGCGCGCACGCACACACACACACACACACACACACACACACACACACACACACAACACACACCCCAGAAACGAATATGCATAGATAAGAAGGGAGGCCCAAAGACAATATGAAAATGACATAGCAGCGAAAGCCAAATCTGACCCGAAACTGTTGTACAGCCACATCAGGAGGAAAACAACAGTCAAGGACCAGGTAATCAGGCTAAGGAAGGAAGGAGGAGAGACAACAATACCCATGGGGAAGATAACATCTCCCCATGGGTCCTGAGAGAGGGAGCAGAGGCGCTATGTGTACCCCTAACAACAACATTCAATACATCTATCGAAACAGGGAGATTGCCTGAGGCATGGAAGACAGCAAATGTAGTCCCAATCCTTAAAAAAGGAGACAGACATGAAGCATTAAACTACAGACCAGTGTCACTGACATGTATAGTATGCACAATCATGGAGAAGATTATCAGGAGAAGAGTGGTGGAACACCTAGAAAGAAATGATCTCATCAACAGCAGCCAACATGGTTTCAGGGACGGGAAATCCTGTGTCACAAACCTACTGGAGTTCTATGACATGGTGACAGCAGTAAGACAAGAGAGAGAGGGGTGGGTGGATTGCATATTCTTGGACTGCAAGAAGGCGTTTGACACAGTTAGACACAAGAGATTGGTGCAAAAACTGGAGGACCAAGCAGGGATAACAGGGAAGGCACTACAGTGGATAAGGGAATACTTGTCAGGAAGACAGCAGCGAGTCATGGTACGTGGCGAGGTGTCAAGAGGGGGCACCTGTGACCAGCGGGGTCCCACAGGGGTCAGTCCTAGGACCAGTGGCTGTTTCTGGTATTTGTGAACGACATGACGGAAGGAAAAATAGACTCTGAGGTGCCCCTGTTTGCAGATGACGAAGTTGATGAGAAGAATTCACTCGATCGAAGACCGGGCCCAGAAACTACAAAGGAATCTGGACCGGCTGCAGACCTGGTCCAGCAATTGGCTCCTGGAGTTCAATCCCACCAAGTGAAAAGTCATGAAGATTGGGGAAGGGCAAAAAAGACCGCAGCGGTGTACAGTCTAGGGGCCAGAGACTACAAATCTCACTCAAGGAAAAAGATCTTGGGGTGAGTATAACACCAGGCACATCTCCTGAAGCGCACATCAAATCAAATAACTGCTGCAGCATATGGGGGGCCTAGCAAACCTCAGAACAGCATTTCCGACATCTTTAAAAAGGAATCGTTCAGGACCCTGTACAAACCCTGTACGTTTTGGCACCATATTGGAGTATGCGGCACCAGTTTGGAACCCACACCTAACCAGCACCCTAAAGAAAACCTAGAGAAAGTGCAAAGGTTTGCAACAAGACTAGTCCCAGATCTAAGAGGTATGTCCTACGAGGAGAGGTTAAGGGAAATCAACCTGACGACACTGGAGGACAGGAGAGATAGGGGGGACATGATAACGACATACAAAATACTGAGAGGAATTGACAAGGTGGACAAAGACAGGATGTTCCAGAGATGGGACACGGAAACAAGGGGTCACAAATGGAAGTTAAAGACTCAGACGAGTCAAAGGGATGTTAGGAAGTATTTCTTCAGTCAGAGTTGTCAGGCAGTGGAATAGCCTAGAAAGTGACGTAGTGGAGGCAGGAACCATACATAGTTTTAAGACGAGGTTTGATAAAGCTCATGGAGCAGGGAGAGAGAGGACCCAGTAGCAACCGGTGAAGAGGCGGGACCAGGAACTATGCCTCGACCTCTGTAACCACAAATAGGCGAGTACACACAAACACACACACAAATACACACAGGAGCTGAGTATCGACGCCTGCAACTACAATTGAGTGAGTACACAAATATACACACACACACACACACACACACACACACACACACACACACAAATACACACACTGTCATGTATACAAACTTAAGACGAGTGATAATAAACGAGTCAGTGAACAAAACAGAACAAGTGTGTAGATGTTAACTCTCCTCAAGGAAGTCAACCTGTCAAGTCTTCATCTTAATCACAAACCACAAGTATATCCCTCCTATTTATATTTTGATTATTAACTCTTTGTATAGAAAAATATATAAATATTACTACGCTTAAAGTCCTTAAAAAATCTATCTATTGGATCGATCATATGATAGAGGCAAATACTGAGTTCTCGATATTTTTTTTTTTAGTGAGAGTTTCCAGTGTTTATTCTGTCAGTGATATATTTTGCAAGTATTTGACTAAAAATATATATTCATTATAAAGTCATCCATCGCTTCATTGTTTAACTTTTTTTTTCATTATGACAAACATTCTTCTGCTTATTTATTCTCGTATTTATTCTTAATTTTGATTCCTTGTTATTCTGATTTTACTGTCAAATTATCTGAAATATTGTTGTATGTACAATTTTTTTTTTATATTTGTTTGTACTTCACAATGTGTTGTAATTTATTATTGGGATCAGGTGTATATACATCAGGTGTATACACAGGTGTATACACAGGTGTATACACCGAGGTGTGTGTGTCTCGGTGTATGCACCGAGGTGTGTGTGTCTCGGTGTATACACCGAGGTGTGTGTGTCTCGGCGTATACACCGAGGTGTGTGTGTCTCGGCGTATACACCGAGGTGTGTGTTGTCTCGGCGTATACACCGAGGTGTGTGTGTCTCGGCGTATACACCGAGGTGTGTGTGTCTCGGCGTATACACCGAGGTGTGTGTGTCTTCGGCGTATACACCGAGGTGTGTGTGTCTCGGCGTATACACCGAGGTGTGTGTGTCTCGGCGTATACACCGAGGTGTGTGTGTCTCGGCGTATACACCGAGGTGTGTGTGTCTCGGCGTATACACCGAGGTGTGTGTGTCTCGGCGTATACACCGAGGTGTGTGTGTCTCGGCGTATACACCGAGGTGTGTGTGTCTCGGCGTATACACCGAGGTGTGTGTGTCTCGGCGTATACACCGAGGTGTGTGTGTCTCGGTGTATACACCGAGGTGTGTGTGTCTCGGTGTATACACCGAGGTGTGTGTGTCTCGGTGTATACACCGAGGTGTGTGTGTCTCGGTGTATACACCGAGGTGTGTGTCTCGGTGTATACACCGAGGTGTGTCTCAGTGTATATATGCCCAGAGTTTTATATTAATTTCCAATTTAGTGATTACAGTATTCTTATCTGGTGGTGATAAGATTACGTGCAGCCTTAATGACACCAGTGAAGTAGATAGGCTTCAAACCCCATTAACCAACCAACAATTTGTGATTGTTGGGGAGAATTTTCCAGAGCCTAAATCGAGAAATATTTTGTCAAGTTAAAATAATGTTGATTTACCATAAACTGCCAGTCCATAGATGGTAAAAAGGAAACGTGAGCAACGTTTCGGTCAGTCTTGGAACATTATCAGGTCCAGGAGGGATCCAGATGTGTTCTGGTCTCCAATTACGACAATTTGTGGCTGAGTGTTGAAGCTACGGAAGTGTGAAGGTGTTGTAGCATTTAAGACTATTACAACCAAACAAGTGATTACACATTCCACCGTCCTCTTCACAATAACACTTCATAACGCACCACCACTACCATAACACCATCTTAACACCAAATACCACCACAACACCACACAGACTCGACCCCTGCAACTACACAGCTGAAAACACACACACACAAAAAAGCGCATATTGCAGGCAACGTTTCGATCATCATTTCTATCCATCTTGATTCATCACTTCTCGTGTAGCAAATTCTTTACAATAAATAAATACGTCTCACTGTGTGATGGTTAAGAACCGTCTCCCTAGCAAACCCACTTGTGTAAAAATATGTGCACTGTCCCTCTGCACTATCATTATAATCAAAACTAAGCGCTAAACCCACAAGGGTCATACATCAGACAGGGAGAAACCTCTGAGCAAGTCTCAGTATTCCAGATGTCCATGTTCACCCCCACTGGTAAGTAGGTACCTGACGTTAGGCATCAGTTATGAGTGGCACCTTCAGGGGTAGTTATATACCCGAGGTTGGCTGGTTAATTGGGCTGAGAGGCTGTTGACTACACGAGGGTCATTATGGCCACACAACCTTTGACCACAAGTCAAGAACATTTTATTCCCTGAAATAGGGACGAAACACTCAGTATATACAGAAACAAATATACATCTTGGTGTATATGCCGTGCCGAATAGGCAAACGAAAATTTGTGAATGCAATAACTTCGCAAAAATCATTCTGAACGTAACGAAAAAAATATATTTCATTGTGTTTATTATTAAATTATTGTAAACTTGTCTAAAATATATTTAGTTGGATTTGGCTAAATTAAATTACGCTTGTTATAATGTTAGGTAAATTTTCTAAGGTTTATTTGAAAAAAATATTAATTTTTACATTAACATAAATGAAAAAAAAAAATTTTTAAACGTACATGAGAAAATTTTAGAAAGGACTTAATTTTAAATGAGATATTGCTAAGTGATCAATTTTACCTATTCGGCACGACATATATATCCTGTGGGTAATAGAGCTGAGCATTGAAATAAGCAGAGGTGAGGCAACAGCTGTAAATAAAAATTTGTATAATTCATTATACTTCACACACAAGTCCCTGAAAGACGAACCTTCTTCCAAGACGAGCTTGTAAATCTGCCGTACACAGCATCTTGGAAAAAGAACCATAAAAAATATACTGGGATTTAACAACAGCTAGCATGTGTGGTGGGCAGAGCACACCTCACCGCGACGGATTGTAAACAATGTCTGACTCGTGGAAAATTAACTGCGTCCCGTAGCCCCTTAGAGACAGTGAACGCAGTGTTTGGTTCCCTGTGAACCCGACCACCTGGAGTCTGGGTCCTTGTGAACCCGAGTACCACCCGGTGTCTGGGTCCTTGTGAACCCGAGTACCACCCGGTGTCTGGGTCCTTGTGAACCCGACCACCACATGGTGTCTGGGTCCTTGTGAACCCGAGTACCACCCGGTGTCTGGGTCCTTGTGAACCCGACCACCACATGGTGTCTGGGTCCTTGTGAACCCGAGTACCACCCGGTGTCTGGGTCCTTGTGAACCCGACCACCACCCGGTGTCAGGGTCCTTGTGAACCCGACCACCACCCGGTGTCTGGGTCCTTGTGAACCCGACCACCACCCGGTGTCTGGGTCCTTGTGAACCCGACCACCACCCGGTGTCTGGGTCCTTGTGAACCCGACCACCACCCGGTGTCTGGTCCTTGTGAACCCGACCACCACCCGGTGTCTGGGTCCTTGTGAACCGATCACCACCCGGTGTCTGGGTCCTTGTGAACCCGAGTACCACCCGGTGTCTGGGTCCTTGTGAACCCGACCACCACCCGGTGTCTGGGTCCTTGTGAACCCGACCACCACCCGGTGTCTGGGTCCTTGTGAACCCGACCACCACCCGGTGTCTGGGTCCTTGTGAACCCGACCACCACCCGGGTCTGGGTCCTTGTGAACCCGACCACCATCCGGTGTCTGGGTCCTTGTGAACCCGACCACCACCCGGTGTCTGGGTCCTTGTGAACCCGACCACCACCCGGTGTCTGGGTCCTTGTGAACCCGACCACCACCGGTGTCTGGATCCTTGTGAACCCGACCACCACCGGTGTCTGGGTCCTTGTGAACCCGACCACCACCCGGTGTCTGGTCCTTGTGAACCCGACCACCACCCGGTGTCTGGATCCTTGTGAACCCGACCACCACCCGGTGTCTGGGTCCTTGTGAACCCGACCACCACCCGGTGTCTGGGTCCTTGTGAACCCGACCACCACCCGGTGTCTGGGTCTTTGTGAACCCGACCACCACCCGGTGTCTGGGTCCTTGTGAACCCGACCACCACCCGGTGTCTGGGTCCTTGTGAACCCGACCACCACCCGGTGTCTGGATCCTTGTGAACCCGACCACCACCCGGTGTCTGGGTCCTTGTGAACCCGACCACCACCCGGTGTCTGGTCCTTGTGAACCCGACCACCACCCGGTGTCTGGATCCTTGTGAACCCGACCACCACCCGGTGTCTGGATCCTTGTGAACCCGACCACCACCCGGTGTCTGGGTCCTTGTGAACCCGACCACCACCCGGTGTCTGGATCCTTGTGAACCCGACCACCACCCGGTGTCTGGGCACACACGTGTCTGGATCCTTGTGAACCCGACCACCCAGGACAAGTATAATACATCAAAACTGTACTTAAAACTATAACAAGAATTAAAATGTTCTTGACTAGCGGTTAATAAGTTACGTTCGGTATTAATTATTCTATGCCCAGTCGATAGGCTTCAAACTCAACAGACCGAGCACTAGGAAGGGTTTCGAACGTTGTGAACCGAACCACCTGGTGTCTTACACATGAAGTTATGAATTATTTAAATACTTGGATAATTAAACAATAACAACAACAACAATCAATAATAATAATAATAATAATAATAATAATAATAATAATAATAATAATAATAATAATAATAATAATAATTAATAATAATAATAACAAGACGTAATATTGTTTTAGTGCCTCTGGGACTCAAGTAGAAATTTTCCTAATTAAAACCTGGTTTAATAAATGACAAAATTTAATTAGCAAGGATAATATTAATTAGATAAACCTGGCACTTAAATATGTACACTAAAGTGTGCATAGTTAAGTTTGTGTTCCAGAGATATTCCTGGACAACACTTAGAACACTACACTTAAGTTTGTCTTCCAGAGACGTACTAGGTAACATTTAGACAGGGTATAAACATAGGTGTGTGTCTCTAAGTGTATATACACTGGACGTTTATTTTTATTTTGAGGATTAAACTATCCTTGACTGGTGGCGAACAGGTACCTTGCAACCTTAATGACCTTAAACCTAGAAAACCAGCCTACTAGACAAGACTTACAACATCACAGATCAATAAGGTGATGCAGCCTCCGTCTCAGCCTCCCTGAATACATTATAGAAATTTCTTCTGTTGACCTTTTGTACTGTGATGAGAATTTCTGAAACAGCGAATGTTGAGCGAGTAGCCGAGTGAGTGGTGGAAGGTGGGCGAGTTTTTGCGAGTCTCACAGATTATTATGATACATAATAAGGGTCGTATTGGTCACGTGAAAATTGATGCTACGTAGTCATAATTAAGGGAGATACCATCTCTCCCTCACTCCCTCTCTCTCTCCTCTCTCTCTCTCTCTCTCTCTCTCTCTCTCTCTCTCTCTCTCTCTCTCTCTCTCTCTCTCTCTCTCTCTCTCTCTCTCTCTCTCTCTCTCTCTCCATCTGCAGAGCCATTATCATCTGTCTTACTAGGAGATATAGAATCACTTGGTTAAGCCACGTTGCTTAAGTATGTTTCTTGCTTGCAACAACAGACTGCCTGTGGATATGTTGTGTAAACGATAGCACTAACACTTGCTTGGCTGGGTCTTGTCTCTGCAACATCATGCAGAAGAATCTGTCTAAGGCTATTCCTGAAACCTTTCCAAAGGTAATGTGTAATCCCCGAAGACAAAAGCATTAATATTTATGTAAAAAGTATTTCAATTATTTTTAGGTATCCCCTGAAGAGGACCTTAAAGTGGTTGCCTGAATTTTTTCCTCTTTTGTTTTTCCTTCCTCCAAACTTTCGTTTATAACTTCGGAACGTCTTATCCGATCGGCTTCAACTTTTCAATGTTGGTTCATCGTACAGTGGGGAAGGGGGAAGAGTTCATGCAACTATCGTCATCTGCTAGTGCACTATGATCAATGTTGCAGAGATGTCTGGCTTCAAACTCTTTGAATATTAATGTGTCTTAATGAGACATATTTTTTTTTTTTTGCATTGAAGTTAGGTTATATGTGATCCAGTTTGCCATTTTTTTAAATTATCAAACTAGAATTTAAAAAAAAAAATATAGAATTGAAGAATTTGAAATATAATATAATTTTAAGGGGAAAACAGAGAAATATGGAAAAATATCGTTTTCTGGCGTTTTCTAAATATGATGAGTTTAATGACCTTTTCTGTACACTGTTTTCGTATGATTTTTTATACCAGAATTGACACGTTATTATGTTTTGTGTTTCTGTTTTCCGCTGACCACCTCCAAGACTTTCATTGCTAACTTCTGAACACATTATCAGACACATGTCTGGAGCAGTCGTAGTGTCTCGTGAAGAGGACACGTAAGACACATGTCTGGAACAGCCGTAGTGTCTCGTGAGGAGGACATGTAAGACACATGTCTGGAGAAGTCGTAGTGTCTCGTGAGGAGGACACGTAAGAGACATGTCTGGAGCAGTCGTAGTGTCTCGTGAAGAGGACATGTAAGACACATGTGTGGAGCAGTCGTAGTGTTTACGTGAGGAGAACACGTAAGACACATGTCTGGAGAAGTCGTAGTGTCTCGTGAGGAGGACACGTAAGAGACATGTCTGGAGCAGTCGTAGTGTCTCGTGAAGAGGACATGTAAGACACATGTCTGGAGCAGTCGTAGTGTTTACGTGAGGAGAACACGTAAGACACATGTCTGGAGAAGTCGTAGTGTCTCGTGAGGAGGACACGTAAGACACATGTCTGGAGAAGTCGTAGTGTCTCGTGAGGAGGACACGTAAGACACATGTCTGGAGCAGTCGTAGTGTCTCGTGAAGAGGACATGTAAGACATATGTCTGGAGCAGTCGTAGTGTTTACGTGAGGAGGACACGTAAGACACATGTCTGGAACAGCCGTAGTGTCTACGTGAGGAGGACACGTAAGACACATGTCTGGAACAGTCGTAGTGTCTACGTGAGGAGGACACGTAAGACACATGTCTGGAACAGCCGTAGTGTCTCGTGAGGAGGACACGTAAGACACATGCTTGGAGCAGTCGTAGTGTCTCGTGAGGAGCAGCGTAGAGAGGACACATAAGGGTATTAGTTACAGGTGAAGCCAGTGCATAATACAGCATTGACTAAAGGTATGACACTCGGAGGCGGCCAGTCTGTCTCATGACACACTCACACCTCTCATTCTTTCTTCTCTGTTCCTCTTTTCGCTGTTATTTCTCTTTCCTATTTTTGTTGTTCCTCTTTCCTCTTTTTACATTTTTGTTACTCTTTCATCTTTGCTCATCATTTTCGTTACTCTTTCCCCTTGGAGAGAGAGAGAGAGAGAGAGAGAGAGAGAGAGAGAGAGAGAGAGAGAGAGAGAGAGAGAGAGAGAGAGAGAGAGAGAGAGAGAGTTCTGGTGCGATTTGTCACCAGCTATGACCTGGTATTAAACGATATAACCTATCATGACCCAGTGTGTCTATTATGGCCTGTTGTAGAGTATCATGATCTAGACACACACACACACATGATAACGACATACGAGATACTGCGTGGACAGAGGTGGACAGAGATAGGATGTTCCAGAGAGGGGACACAGAAACAAGGGGTCACAACTGGAAGCTGAAGACTCAGACGAGTCACAGGGACGTTAGGAAGTATTTCTTCAGTCATAGAGTCGTCAGGAAGTGGAATAGCCTAGCAAGTGAAGTAGTGGAGGCAGGAACCATACATAGTTTTAAGAAGAGGTATGACAAAGCTCAGGAAGCAGAGAGAGAGAGGATCCAGTAGCGATCAGTGAAGAGGCGGGGCCAGGAGCTGAGTCTCGACCCCTGCAACCACAATTAGGTGAGTACAATTAGGTGAGTACACACAAACACACACACACACACACATTTTTAAGTTACCAAAATAGATTTTACACTGAACGTTTTTCATGTTTAATGTTAAACTGTTGGTGCAAACTCGAGGAATTATAAATATTTCTGGAACTGAATTAATAGTCAAAT